GAAGGGCCAAATGCCCCCAAACACCTGCTGCCTTCTGAGGGCATTTAAGGGCTGCCAGGGTGGCTGGGGGGTGGCTGGAGGCTGTGGCTCTCTTGTGGGTGAGTGATGAGTGGGTGGGTGTCAAGAGCTCCCGGTGTGGCCGTGTCCTCCCAGAGGCCTCTGTCTGGGTATTGACGGGACACCTAGCTCTTGCTTGGGGATTGGGTTTGGCTGCTACAGTCTTGCCCCCCCAGAAAAGCCAGTGGCCTGCTCACTGGGACGATCCCCAGAAGGCCTAGGCTGGGTCTCTCCATGTTGAGCTCAGGGTTGGTTTATGGAAATTGTGCTAAGTAGTGCTTGGCTTGTTTTCTGGGTGGGTAAGGAGGATGTGGCAATTGCTGGGTGTCCGTTTACTCTGCAGAGCCCAGATGGGAGCTGACAGGTACAGGGAAGCCTAGAGACACACAGGTGTCTGTGCCTTTGCCTGTGTTCCCTCGCCCTGAAATATCTCCTGGGACATATTCACCCTTGAGAATCAACCCCAGGTGATTCTATCCACTTCCAGAGCACTCCCAAGCCCTGAGGTAGGATCACTGGAAAGAGGGCCTGGTCTCCTGCCTCCTTTCTTGCTGTGACCTCTGCCTCCTCTCTGGGCTAGGGTGAGCCCTGGAGGGATACCTCACTGGGTGTCTCCTGCATCACACTCTGTCTGGACATGCCTTGTCCATGTTGGTAAAGCCCCGTGAATGCCAAGGTGGGGTCCCTCCCCCTAGGTGTGCACACTCCCATGGCTGCTTCTTCATCCCTGTACTCTTGCCTCAGCTGTGCCTGCTACACTGGGGCTGAGGTCAGTGGGTCTTCCCAAGGAATGACCCTCGCTCTAACCCCATGTGTAGTTTTAGTTTAAATCCCACTAAAAAACCCCCAAAAAACAAAAAAACCCACTGAGTTTGAAGAAGTGGTTGTTAGTGATGTAGATCTGAACATACAGACATCAAAAGATGTCCAGAGTTGGGGCACCTATTTAGTGCAGTGTGTAGAGCATGTGACTCTTGATCTCGGGGGTCATGAGTTTGAGCCCCACGTTGGGCATAGAGATTACTTAAATCTTAGAAAAGGAAAAAAGTCCATAGTACAGGCAAGTGGAGAAACGTGTGCCCAAATCGTGTCTATGAAACTCCCCTTCTATAATTAGCTGCTCAGCATGTGTGTGAGTTTTTAGAAGCTAACTAGGTTATGAGAGTTAATGCTCAATACATTTCTGAGGTATTAAATCGTCTATACCATGAGAGTGTGTTAATGTAAAATCAGAGAAATACTCCTTCCTAGAAGCCAACTCTTGGATGATCTTGATCTTAATTTAAACCAGTTCTCAGTTCTTGAAAGATGTGAAAAGTCAAAGCTTGGCTAGATCTAGAAAAGTATTTTAAAAATGGCCTGTAGTGCTCCAACCAGAGGAGGTGACTCAGTGCCATGAATAAGACTTAGGAGTCCCCAGTTTCCCTGCGTCCAAAAGGAATGAAAGGTCAAGAGCAGCTCAGTATCCTGGAAGACTGTGAGCACAGCCAGGGTCCCTTGGCAGGGCCTCTGCCACCTGACACCCAGGGTGGGAGCCTCCTAGTGTGCGGGGAGCAGCAGAACTGGCCTGAGCCTTGGTGTGTGTGAGTGTGTGTGTGAATCCCCTGATGTTGGTGATGTTTGCCTAAATATCCAATTTGGCTTTCTTTGGATCTCAATCTCTGGGAACCAATGACAAAAGGTTATGACTTTGATCGTGTACCCAACTCAAAGCCTCCAGCTTGGCTCTTTCATGCCACTGCTAAAGGGTGGCAGGATAGTGGCTCTCCTGGATGCCACAAATAGCAATGTGAGGGGAAGGAAGCACACTTTGAGCTGTGACTAGAGAAACTTGTGAAAGAATTCGCTTTGCAGTTGGTTTTGCAGACTGTCCCCAAATGAGTGGTTTGGTTAATTCGTGACTTTTTTTTTTCTTTTTAAAGATTTCATTTATCTGACAGAATGAAAGAGAGCACAGGGGGAGCAGTAGGCAGAAGGAGAGAGAGGAGCAGACTTCCTGCAGAGTAGGGAGCCTTATTCGGGACTTGATCCCAGGCCCTGATATCATGACCTGAGTCAAAGGCAGATGCTTAACTGTCTCAGCAAACCAGGTGGCCCCAAATCTGTGACTTTCAAACTGTTCTTCATGACCCCCTCCAGTGGGAAAAGGGGGTCTATCCTGTTCTATCTGAAGTTGAGCTTTTCTGCTTGTGCCATACTGGCCTTTAGTGAACATTTGAAGGAAGTTGGCTAACATCTGAACCCCTGACTTACTTCCAAGGTTCCTTAATGGCCACACGTTCTGGGCTGTGGCAGAGGATGAACGGTTCCTGTGGAATAGTCCTGGAACCAGACACTGTCTCGGGTCTACCCAGACACAAGAACCTTTCGTTCAAACTTAGGCACATTCAGAGGATCTCATGGACCCAGCTGGTCAGGCCCCAGACAGTGGGGGAGAGAGATAGCAATGAAGTGGCAACGTGTAGCAATGTTTCAGAAGTGGCCTCCCTTGCTGGAAACACATGCTTTCCTATTTTCCAACATCCCCACGTGTGTTAAGTGCCACCAATGGTGGTGACTTGTTTTCCTCATCAGAACTCCTTACAGACTGTTGGCAGCAAAGCTTAGTGATCCAAAGCATGGATGCGGGAGTCAGATCTAGGCTGACGTCCTGGCTCTGAAGCTTAACAGCTGTGGGCACTCTGGGCTTCTGTGGGAAGTGACATCTGAGGTGGTTTCCCTACCAGTAAAATGGGGCTATCTCTACCCGACTATTTTTTTTTTCAATTTTATTTTAGATAGCTCAAGAGAGAGCCTGTGCAATTGGAGTGGGGGAGAGAGAGAATCTCAAGTAGACTCCCTCCTGAGCAGAGCCTGATGTGGGGCTTAATCTCATGATCTTCAGATCAAGACCTGAGCTGAAATCAAGAGTTGGAAATTTAACTGACTGAGTCACCTAGGAGCCCCATCTCTACCTTACTATTAATGTTGCTTCATTTAATTCCAAGTGTCTGACATTCCTGGCATGTGATAAATGTATTTTGCCCATTGCTCCCTGAACTGGAGAGCCCTAATACTACTCTACTCTAGATTTTGAAAATGCCATCTTGTGTCTTATCTGTTGGAGATGTAGGGTATAGTGCCTACATCCGACCTAAATCTGTTTCCAGCTGATAATCTCGACCCTGGCTATCATAGCAACTAGAAAACTCTTTTGAGAAGGTGTTTTAAAGGATGTTCTGGGGACAGCTGGCTGGTTTAGTAGAACTTGCAACTCTTAATCTCATTGTTGTGAGTTTAAGTCCTATATTGAGTGTGGAGCCTACTTAAAAAAAAATTAAAAAGGAGTGTCTGATTTACCTTTTGGTCCTAAAAAGCAACTCTTCTTCCTTATGGAGCAGAATTTGAGGCTACTTAAAGGTAGATGGAAGTATAGGACATAGTTCTTCTCTAGTCTGAGCTTCTTGTGCCTCTACTCTGAGGCTTAGTCCACTGGCAGCACTTTGTTTAGGGACTTGTCCATGGCCTGGTATCTGCTATTACTGCAAATGCCTCGGACACCATCATTCTTTTGACTCAAATTCCTTTATTTTTCCTGGTCCCTTGCTGGTGGTTCTTTCTTTTGGGCCATAGTAAGGAGTGTCACCAAAACTGAGTTATTATTCTATTCTCACACAGTCTCTCTCTCTTCTTAAGACCTCAGTCTTGGCTCTCTACTTCTGGAATTCTGTGTTTAAACTGTCTCATCCAAATTGCTGTGTCTAAATTAGTCTTTCCTAACAAAATTATTCCCAGCTGTTCTATCTTCAAGACTAGAGTCCATAGACTCTGGTCCTCTTTATCCAGTGTTTCCTTCTCTGCAATGTAGTTTGGCTCATCCCATGTACTTGGAAACAGATGGATATTCATTGCATACTTGCAAGAAACGTCATTGCCCACTGCCTTGGAGAAAGTTAAAATGTGGCCTGATTTGAATAACCTCCTCTGATTAGGGATCGGTTCCCTTTGTGACCTATCACCCACCACCCTCATCCAACAAATATCTGAGTACCTACTTACTATTTGTTATGCATGATGAAAGGGCTGAGGAATCTTACCTAAGACACATATGACCCCGTTGTCATTGGGAGGAGAGGGAGAAAGATGCACAACCAAGAAAATTTGGGGTGGTGGTAAAAGCTATGGAGAATATAAAACCGACTGGGAAGATACTTAGATTCTTAGATAGGAATTCAAAATGTTCCTGCAGGTGAAGAAGGCTGGGCCCAGCTCACACAAAGTGGGCATCCTAGAGAGTCTGAGTTTTCTTCTGAATTCAGTGGGCGGCCACTAGAGAGTTTTGAAGCAGGGGAAATTACCTTTAAGAGATCACGCGGCCTCTGTGTGGAGAACAGATTGGAATACAGCAATGGTAGAGGTGGGGGGAAGAGGTGGGAGGCGATTGCCATTGTGTAGCTGGAAGATGATGGTGGCCTGGTCCAGGGTGGAGGCAATCAACCAAAGAATTAGAAGGAGCAGATTATGCTTGAGATCATTGTGACCTAAGGGTTGGTGGACTGGGTATGGGAGAAGAGGGTCAACTTCCTGTCCTGGTTGGGTACCAGTTCCTACACAGACATTTCGTACAGAACTACATGGATATAGCCACATGAGAGGGTTCTATACTTCCCTTCCAGCCTACCATAGCCATCAAAGGCCCAGTTCAAGATGAAGTGCCTCCAAAAGGTATCCCTCACTGCTATAGCCCACAGCCGATCTCCTCTGGCTTCCGTGGTGCTCATTGCCTACTGAGCCCGGGTGGTGATGCCTGGGGAGGCTGACATCCTGAGTCTGCCCTCCCATCCACTGTGAGCTCTTCCAGGGCTTAGAGCAAGGATAGCTATGACCTAGAAACCCACACATTGGGTGCTGACAATCTCCTGGCAATTGCTTTACCTCCAGGTGGCTTACCACTTCGAGTCAATATGCCGACTTTACATGCTCCAGAAGAGAGGCTGAGAAAATTTAAGTACCGAGGCAAAGATGTGTCTGTGAGTACCCAGCCACTGCTTCACTCTCTGGAGGAGCAGTGCAGTGAAAATCTCATGGTTGAGATGCATCATAAATGGAATGGAGCAGGGGTGCCTGGGTGGCTCAGTTGGTTAAGAGTCCGACTCTTTCTTTTGGCTCCAATCATGATCTCAGGGTAGTGAGCCTGATGGCTCTGCACTGAGGGTGGAGCTTGCCTATGATTCTTTCTCCCCTCTCCTTCTGCCCCTCCCTTGCTTGTGTGCATGCATGCTCATGTGCTCTCTCTCTCCCTCCATTAAAAAAAAAATGGAATGGAGGATCAGGACATGGGGATGACAAAGCAAATATACCAAAATGGAGATCTAAAAGATAAATCATTTCTCCCAAGGACTCCCAATACTATAAAGTCTATGGGTTTCTTCTGTTATAAGAAAAAAGGGTATATTGTTTTGTTTTTAATTTTCATCTCCCTCAGTCTGGCATCCAAGTAAACCTCCTGGGACTAAATCAAGACTAGATGAATGACCTGTTGATGGATGGTGGAAATGGTCAGGGGACATGTGGGTTGTGACATCCCAGTTCCCAGCCCTGCCTGGATCCCCACGGTCGGGAGGCCCACCTGCTCTTCAGGGACTAATCAGCATTGATGAAAATGTGTTCAGACTTGGGGCAATGGGATGCTTTGCTCACATGGCTTTCCAGCTGAGAGAGTCCTAGCCTGCCAAGATTGTAGATAGACTTCCTTCACTTTGTGCAGAAGGTTGACTATTTTTCTGGATGTGGTATAGTGGGAGAAAGCAGAGGAGGTAAACCATGCTGAGACTATTTACTGTGTGATCTTAACTCTTCCAGCCTGTTGCAACTGTAAAAGTGGAATCTGATGCTTTGAAGCATGTTCTAAGAGCTAAATGTGGTGACAACTTAACTTCCCTACTCTAAGGGCTTCAATTCTTTCTTTTCCTCACTAGATGAGGCGGCAACAGAGGATAGCAGTCAGCCTGGAACTCCGGAAGGCCAAGAAAGATGAGCAGGCCTTAAAGAGAAGAAATATCGCCAATTTCTCCACTGATCCAGCTTCTGAACAACCAACTAAAGGGGTACACTGGGAATGTGGTGTTCATGAGAGTTGTGTATGAAATACGTCCTTAGCTAGTTTCTCTGGCTTGAAGATGTTTCATAGATTCAGAACTTGCAAGTTCTCATTGAGGGTCTTTAAGGAGAGGAATAGAGAGTTCATGGTTAGAACTAAGCTGATGTTTTCAGAAAGCTAAGGGCTGTTACCTTTGTGACTGTGAGTTTGGGATCTATGTTCTGAGCAGGGTGGGGTAGGCAAGATGATGTTTCTAATGGAAATTCACTTGCCACCACTTGGCCAGAAATAGGAAATGAGGGCTTAGGAAGGTTCTCTCTCAGAATCATCTAGTCACTCAATATATAAAGGCTTGCCTAGGATCGGAATGCTGTCTTCTGTCTTCCATTCCCCATACACCTCAGCCTCATTCAGTACAAATTCTGGGTTGACTTGCAGGCCAATATTGTTTTTGAAAATCCTTTCTGGAATGCTCTGATGGGGAAGTTTCTTCTCTTAGACTCCACTAGCCTTGTTTCTACGTGTCTTTGATGATCCATCCCCACCTATGTTCCACCTTAACCATCATTGCACCCTTGGGATTAGAACTCTTATGGGGCAGAGATGAGTTCAATCTGGGCAAGTGGATCCATTGACATAGTAGCTGCCATCAAATGGAATGGCTGTAAGCATTCTCTGAATTGCCATACGTGGCTTCTTTCACTCAGTTTAACGTTTTCAAGTTTCATCCATGTTGTTGCATGCGTCAGTATTTTATTCCTTTTATAGCTGATTGTATAGATATACCATGTTTTGTTTAGCTATTCATTAGTTGGTGGACATTTGTGTTTCCTCTTTTTGGCAATTATGAATAATGCTGCTTTGTACACAAGTATTTGTGTGGACATGTTTTCAATTCTCCTGAGTATACCTAGGAGTAGAATTACTGGGTCCTATGATCATTCTGTTTAACTCTATGAGGAACTACCTTTGGTAAACTGAATAGTGCCCCACCCTACTCCCTCCATCAAAACCTCCATCTCCTAATCCCAAGAGCCTGTAAATGTTACTTTGTAGGACAAAGGGGACTTTGTAGGTGTGATTAAATTAAGGATCTTGAGATGGGGAGATTATCCTGGATTAGCTGGATGGGACCAATCACATTGGTCCTTATAAGCGTGAAGGACAAGTTAGAGCAGGTTATAGGACAACAGAAGCAGAGATTAACGTGTTGTGCTTTGAAGATGGAGGGAGGGGGTCACAAGCCAAGGAATGGAGGTGGCCCCGCTAGAAGCTGAACAAGGCTAGAAGACTGATTCTTCCCTCAGAGCCTCCAGGAAGAGCCAGCCCTTCCTTTAGTGAAGCTGATCATGAATTTCTGACCCCCCAGAACTGTAAGAGAATGTGTTGTTTTAAGCCACTAAATTTGTGGTATTTTTTTATAGTAACAATAGGAAACAAATATATAGCCAAACTATTTTTCAAAGTAGCTATACCATTGTACATTCTGATGTTCTTTTTTTAATTTTCATTTTTTAAAGATTTTTTTTTCTCTTATGAGAGAGACAGAGAGGCAGAGACCTAGGCAGAGGGAGAAGCAGGTTCCCCGCAGGGAGCCCAATGCAGGACTCAATCCCAGGACCCCAGAATCACAACCTGAGCCAAAGGCAGGCACTTGACCACTGAGCCATCCAGGCATCCCTTGGTGTTCTTTTTTAAATTTAAATTCAGCATATAGTATATCATTAGTTTCAGGTGTAGAGTTCAACAATTCATCAGTTGCAACAATTCAACAGTTGCATATAACACCCAGTGCTCATCAGCTCACCCAATTACATCACATTCTGACAGTCTTACCAACACTTATGTTGTCCATTTTCATATTATAGCCATCTAGTAGGTACAAAGGGCTATATTATAAAATTTTGATCTGTTTTCCTAACAACTGATGATGATCATTTTTTGATATGCTTACTGGCTATTTGTAGATCTTTTGAAGGAATGGCTATTCCAAGCCTTTGCTCATTTTTAAACTTGAGTGATTTGTTCATCTATTGTTGAGTTGTAAGAGTTCCTTATACTGTCTATTCTGGAGACTAGATACCCTTACCCTTATCCTACCCTTACCAGATATATGATTTGCAAATATTTCTTACTCTGTGGATTCTTTTCACTTTCTTGGCAGAATCCTTTGAAGCACAGAAGTTTTAAATTTTGAAACCATTCAATTTGTCTACCTTTATCTTTGGTTCTTATGCTTTAGGTATAATGTTTAAGAATCCATTCATTGCCTGATCCAAGGTCACAAAGATTTATGTCTAAGTTTCCTTCTAAGAGTTTTATGGTTTTAGTTCTTATTTTTAGACCTTAGTTCTCTATTTTTGACCTGATCTATTTTGAGTAAATTTTTATAAAGGGTGTGAGTAGGGGTCCAATTTCGTTGTCCTGCATGTGGATATTTTGTTGTCCTAGCATCATAAGACCATCCTCTCCCCCATTGAATTGTCTTCCAACCCTTGTCTAACATCAACGGACCATAAATGTAAGAGTTTATTTGTAGACTCTGGATTCTCTTCCATTGATCAATATGTTTATCCTCTGTCAGCACAACACAGAGTTGATTGCTGTAGCTCTGTAGTAGGTTTTGGGAAGTGTCTTCCGATTTAGTTCTTCTTCAAGATTATTTTGGCTATTTGGGATCCCTTGCATTGCCAAATGAATTTTAGAATCAACTTGCCAATTTCTTCTATAATGATAGCTCAGATTTTAATGGAGATTACACTGTATCTATAGATCAGTTTATAAGAGCATTGCCATCTTGACAATGTTAAGCCTTCCAATTCACGATCGTGTGTATTTTTTAATTTGTTAGGTCTTCTCTAATTTTTTTTATAGTTTCAGTATGTAAGCCATGTACTACTTTTACTAAATTTATTCCCAAGTATTTTACTCTTTTTGATGTCATTGAAAATAAAATTATTTTATTAATTTCAATTTTGGATTGTTCATTGCTGATGTATAAAAATACAAGGGATTTTTATATGTTAATCCTGAAGCCTAGCTGAACCTCTATTTTTGTATATGTGGAGATTCCTTAGGCTCTTCCATCTTCAAATTCTTGAATTCTGCAAATAGCAATAATTTTTATTTTTTTTCCAATCTGGAAAATCCAATCTGGATGACTTTTTTTCCCCCTTTACCTAGTTCATCTGTCTAGAACTTCCAATACTACATTGAATAAAAGTGACAAGAGTGAACATCCTTGTCTTGTTCCTGATTTTAGGGGGAAAACTTTCCATCCTTTACCATTTAAGTATGATGCTAGCTGTGGGGTTTTATTAGATGGCTTTATCAGGTTGAGGAAGTTGCCTTTTATTTCTAGCTTGTTGAATGTTTATTATCATGGAAGTGTGCCTGAATTTTGTCAAATGCTTATCTTGCATTTACTGAGATGATTGTGTACTTTTCCCCCATCTCATTAATAAGTCCTACTATATTGATGTTCATATGTTGAACTGCCCTTGCCTTTCTGGATTAAATCCCAGTTGGTCATGATGTATAATTCTGTTCATATGTTGATACATTTTGTTTCCTAGAATTCTTCTTCCTGAAATTAGCTCTTTTTCTTGAATAATCTCTTTTTGGATCAAATAAAACAAATTGCTACAAGCCTTTGGTCAATTTTTGGAGTTTGGAAGGTTGAACTACTTGTGTTGGTTTTCTTGTTTTTATGGAGGAGGGAATTTTTGGAGGTCCTTACTCTGCCATTTTTGCTGATCATCACTAACATGTTCTTACTGCATGGGATGAAAAGTTGGGGATACAAGTGATGATAGGGATGACCCCTTCCCCAGAGCATAGGGAGTATCCCATAGATCCATGAGATCTATAAGACCTCCAAGTGTTCTTCTCTCCCCTAACGGAGACCAATGTGCAGACTGGGACATCTTGTCCAAGCCAGCCTGTTCTAATCAGATAGATGGCAGGACTAGATAACCATCATTATTCCTTTGGGCAGAGACTCTGACCTGAATGTGTGTCTCCTTGCAGGTCAGCCTCACCCTGCAAGAAATAATCAATGGTGTGAATACCTCAGATCCAGACCTATGTTTCCAGGCCACCCAGGCAGCCAGGTATCACCAAACAAACTTCTGCTGTTTATAGGTTCCTAGCTAGAAATGAGCTCCAGTGGCCTATTTGGTTTTGTGGAAGTGGCAAAATGCCCACACAATATAAGACAAGGCAAGTCCATTCAAAAGCAAGACTAAATTATTCCTCTACACCGTCCTTGAGAACAACTTAAGATATGCAAGTGTTGTCAGAGATGAATTGCTTAATTTAAATTGGCCTCTATAGGGATCTCAGCTCATAGATAATACCTAAAGGGAAAAATATTGCCTTGTCACTGCAAAGTGCTACAGGCTGGACGTTAGGATATTAAGTAGCTCTGGCCCCAGATGTTAGTCTCATTTGATAGCTAGGAATGCCAAGAACACTTATAAAGGAGGTTCTTAATATCAGCCTCACTTGACTTGTTTATATATATTTTTCCCTTTCATTACAAAGGAAAATGCTGTCCCAGGAAAAGAACCCTCCTCTAAAACTGATTGTTGAAGCAGGGCTCATTCCCAGGCTGGTGGAGTTCCTGAAGTTGTCACCTCATCCCTGCTTACAGTTCGAGGCAGCCTGGGCTCTGACCAACATTGCTTCAGGGACTTCCGAGCAGACTCAAGCTGTTGTGGAAGGTGGGGCCATACAACCTTTGGTTGAGCTCCTGTCTTCCCCCCACATGACTGTGTGCGAGCAGGCAGTATGGGCCCTTGGTAATATAGCAGGTGAGACTCTCCCCTCTTCCCATTGGGGTAGGAAGCCAGTGTGGGCCGGGCATCTGGCATGCTATGGGAGTTCTCTGGGTAGCATAAAGATTCAATACACTCAGTATAAATATCTAGAAAAGCTGAGAATAGTATGACAGGCTTTTCCAAAATCCAGAGTCCAGTTCAGAGACCAAAAACTAAAGTGGCAACCAAATGATACAGTATGTGCTGAAGCTATAGGCTGTCTAGTGAGGTCTGTCAATACCGGGGTCCTACAGCCTCAAGTCTTAATGGCTTCAAGAACAAGACAAGTCTTTGACCCTTACAGCATATATAATAGACCCTTGCATAACCCAGGACCCTGAGAGAATTCTATCTCCACTGAAAGTTAATAAGGAAACATAGCAAAAAAAAAAAAGATGTTTCCTCAGTGTGGGGTACAAGTCTCCCCTGTAAATGCAGTCCTAAAATGGCCTTGTGAATTTGGGGTTGATGCTATATTCCCTGCATGGTCCAGGAAAGCATAAGATGAGGAGTTAGTGCTGCAGGGTTGGAAGCTCCAGGATTCCTGGCTGAATATAAATACAATGCTCTTGGGAGGATACGAACTCAATTGGGCCCCTCAGGATTTTGACAAATTAGGATCAGCCAAATATTAGCAGTTTCAAGTTCAGAGAATCAACAACCCACTATGACTGAGTCAGCAAAAACAAACAGTATGATTAGACCTCCAAGGACTTCAGATACTGGGATTAGCAAACACGGAATATAAAACAAGTCTGCTTGTTAAATGCTTGCAGAAAGGAAGCACCCATTTGCAGAGACTTTGTCCTTCATTTTGCTTGGTTCAGTAAGAAACAGGCAAAACTGGGTGGTATAAAGTCACCTATGCCTTGCTTTGGTGGTTGGAGTATTATAAACGGAGACTTCTAAGGTCTCAAATTGGTATATTCTTGCCTGAGTGGGACAGCAGGTGGCTAGCATCTACCCATTCCCCCACACTGGGTTCTGAGTTGCATTTGCAAGTTTCCACCCCATGTCAAAGTCACCTGGGAAGACAATTTGGCCTGCAATAGCCTCCTTCATCTTCCTGAGGAACATGCTGTGAAGTGCTACCAGTATTTAGAGTCTTGAGCACTTCCTGGACCCACTGGCTGCCTCCTTTATGTGTCCACAGACTACTTATAATGATCACTGCTGGGTAGTGCCTGCTTTTCACACTTGGCCTATCTACCCAACTGACATGATGGAGACCCAGGATCTAGTTCATGCCTATACTATGTACTTGTCCAACCCAGAACCCCTGTGGCTTCTCTCCCTTTGTACAGCCTTTTAAAAAATGAGTCACTTAGCCCAGGATTCTCTCCACTCCCTGTTTAATTGTCACATTCTTATCTATTTGTAGGTGATGGCTCAGAATTCAGAGACATCGTTATCTCGAGCAATGCCATTCCACATCTGCTGGCCCTGGTTTCATCAACCATACCAGTAAGAGTCTTTGAAGTAGAAAAACTAGCTAGGTAACAAGTTTCTGAAATTGGGGAAGTACTTTTAAGTCAATGCTAGGTCATATGCTTGCTGCCTTGTCCCTTATGACAGGAGTTATAAGCAAGGCCTAGGATTGAATATCACATGGGGCAGGGATTGACTTGAATTTGGCTCCAAGGGCCAGTAATGCTGATTTTTCCTCAGGGGGCATTGGAAGAGGTCCATTAAAATTTTTCTAAGCTTATAATCCTACAAAAGTAGATGTTTAAGCTCTCCATTCAAGGGGCACAGACAGAATTAATGGGTCATCTATTCTGATCCTAGGTATTAGGTCTACGTTTGAAGCTTAGAGTCAAAGTTGATTGATGTGGCAACAATAGGGGACCCCTTTGGATAAATGTTGGTTCTAGATTTGTCTCAAACAGAAATGAAGAGAAGGTAGCTTCTAAAAGCCCAGGGAATACCCATCCCCCAAGGAGGGAGAAAACCTGACATTGTGGAATCAGAAAATGGCTGACATGACCAGGGAGTTTGCAAAGTCAGCAGTGCAAGATGACAAGTAGGGCAAGGGTCCTAGACACCCACATGCTGGCAGAGGGAAGCAGGAAGTGAAGTGATCTGATCTTTTGGAAAGACCCTTCTGGCTGTTTGTAAAGTGATAGCGGAGGGAGCTGGAATGCTGCCATGCTGGACACGGGGAATAGGAAGAAGAAAGGTTTTGTGTTAGGTTGTTTGGATGACTATTCTCCTAGAGAAATGGGAAGGATGGAAGGAAGAAGGAATCAGAGCCTTAGTTGTACATATTAATTTGAGGTGAGTGAGAGGCATCATCACAGCAACATCAGGTAGATGGTTAATGCAGGTCCAGATAGTCGTGCATGCATACGTCATCAAGCTGGGCAGGATCAACTAGAGCAGGGGCCATCTGGTTGCTTTTGTAAATAATTTTTTTTTGGAGCACAGCCATCCCCATTTATTTTTACCCATATTGTCTGTGGCTTTGGTAATGTTACAAGGGCAGAGATGAAAAATTGCAACAGAGACCCTATGGCCCATAAAGCTGGAAGTGTTTACTCTCTGGCCTTCTCCAGAAGAAATATGCCAACCCCTGACCTGGAATATAAGGAGAGCCTAGGACCAAGGGTCTCAGGCTCTAACAATCAGAGTCTGCCCCAAAGACTGAGAAGAAACAGCCCATTTGGCAATAGAAATGCAGGTTTGGTGTCATAGGTGCCAAGAAGAGGTTTTTCAAGAGGGGTACTAACTAAGTCTAAGAGGGACAGTAACTTTAGAATTGAAAAAGCAGCTGTTGGATTTGGTGGCCTGGAAGAAACCAATTTCATCACCCAGTACAAAGAAGTAGGGGCAGAAATATGACCAGAGGGGTGGAAAAACAAATGGGAAGCTGCAAGGTAGACAGTGAATAGAGATGGACTCTGGGAAAAGTAGGAGCAGGATGATGGCTAGAGAGGTGGGCCCCAGAGTGTGGGAAGGATGCAGAGAGGCGATGGTGGGGATAGAATCTTCAAAGGCAAAAATGGGATCCAGATGCAGGGTAGGAAGACTGACCCTTGAACAAAGATCAGGAATGTGGTTACCACATGTTGGTGGAGTGAGTGACAGTTGTGCAAACCAAGTAACTTGTGCTTGGCCTTTGTTTTGTCAATGAAAAATAAAATAGGTCATCAACTGAGTCAAGTGGGGAGGGACATTTTGAGGAATATGAGAAAACCTCCACCTAACATTTGAAAAGGAAGCTTAAAGCTCATTCTCGGTCTCCTCTGTATGCATCACTATCGAGAACATATTCTGCATGAAGCTCAAATACTTTGCTCCACACTGGTCAATAATATTGATCAGGGATGGCAAGGACACACAGCTGTTGGCATTTTTCCTTCTTTGCACCCAATGCTGGAAGCAGTCTCCTTATTACAGATCACGTTTCTGCGGAATATCACGTGGACCTTGTCCAACCTGTGCCGAAACAAAAATCCTTACCCTTGCAAGACAGCCGTGAAGCAAATGTTGCCTGTCCTGTCCCACCTCCTGCAGCACCAAGACAGTGAGGTTCTCTCGGATACCTGCTGGGCCCTGTCCTACCTCACCGATGGCTGCAATGAGCGCATCGGCCAAGTGGTCAACACAGGGGTCCTGCCCAGGCTGGTCCAGCTTATGAGCAGCTCAGAGCTCAATGTCTTGGTAAATGTCCCCGGGTCCCATCTGGGTCTGTATGGGCCTTCAGATTAGAACATGTGAGTCCTATTCACTTGAACAAGACCTCTCCCACCCACAGTCTTCCATAGTCAGATCTCTTACTTTACCTAGAACAAAGCTTGTCATCTGCATTTCCCTGGTTTCTGCTACTCTTTAGCCAAAGACGAATCTCTCTTGATCCAAAAATCCTAGTGGATGTTAAGTAATTTACTTTGTCTTCCTCTGGTAGCTAGAAAATAGAGACAAGCACCAGATTAAAATAATACCTTCACCCAGCAAACTATTCTTTTGTGGCTGTGGCCTTGCTTTCCAAGGATCTGTGCATGCAGATGTTAACAAGTTGGCTAATATGGTGTGCACATGTGTGAGTGTGTGTATTAATGTAAAGCGCATTGTAACATTTGAATTTCTTACTCAAGTATAAAAGAAAATTCCCTCTTATCCTCACCCCAGTTTGTTATTAGACTATTTCAGTATAGGTGAAAATGAAAAAAAAAATCAAATGCTTTGCTAGGTTATGAAATGTGTCCCTTATACAATATGCTTCTTGAAGACATGCCTTAAGATATGGGTGGCCTTTTGGATTACTGTGGCTAACGTATATTTATGCAGCCTTAGTGATCATCTATGTCTAGATTAGCATAGTATTCCTCATATGTCAAGATTAGTTTGGAGATACTCTCTTTCTACCCTCTCTGCCCCCAACAGTATCTATAAAAAGCTTCTAGTCCTGGGGTAGGGGGGCCGAGGGCCCATTTGGAACCATCCTGCCAAAGTGATTGGCCTATAGCACTACTTCCACCTCTCACTTGATTAGCAGATACCTAGCATATAAGGCTAGGAAAACTCCAGAACTGTTGATAGTCTGTGCTGGGGCAGCCATTATGGTGCAGAGAAATCAAAATAAATGCAGTCAGCCCTTAGAGGATGGTTGTCTTGAGCCCAATTGCACCCCCCATCCTGGGGACCTACAGAGTTGAGAGGGAGTTTGTGAATACATAAAAAAAAATGCCATTGGGATCTCATTAGCTCCAATTAAATATACAACAAAAACTTGATACTGGTGCTAAATACAAATTTGGTAGAAATTATTACATTATACACACTGTAATCAATTTAGCGATTTTCCCAGTGTAAGGATACAGAAAGGGCAGCATCATTTCTTAATAAAGGCAACACTTGACCTCTATCTCATGTGAGCTGGAACTATCGAGAGGCTAGCCTAGTACCTGTAAACTATGCAAATGGCTGTGGATGTGCTGAATTAATAAGGATCATGGACTTAATCACTATTCACAGGTTTTCTGAGCACCATCAACATGGCATGACAAATATCTGGGAATGCACAGAGCTTGGTGTGATCATTTCCTTCTGTTACGATACATTTGCAATGCTTGGTTATACTCCTAGCCTTGTTCTTCCAGACCCCCTCTCTCCGCACAATCGGGAACATCGTCACAGGAACGGATTACCAGACCCAGATGGCCATTGATGCGGGCATGCTGAACGTGCTGCCCCAACTCCTGATGCACCCCAAGTCCTCCATCCAGAAGGAGGCAGCTTGGGCCTTGAGCAATGTGGCTGCAGGGCCCTGCCAACACATCCAGCGGCTGATCACTTGCGGCATGCTGCCTCCCTTGGTGGCTCTGCTAAAAAATGTAAGCGGTGCACTCCATGTCTATGACAAAAGGCTATTTTCCAACCGGCCCTGTGTTGAACTCCTCCAGGAATTCAGACACAGTCTAAGAAGCAAATTAATTGAGCTCACAATAGAGCTATGAGACCTTAGTTTCCTAACTCTCCTTGGAAAAGAAGAGGCATCTCATTTTGGCTGACCCATTAAAGATTTAAGAGACTAAACAGGCATTGTTCAATGAAAAGGTGATCCCATGGATCAGATATTCAGAAAAAAATATTGAGCTGGAAAATATTGGTTTATCTTTAGTGTTAAAAGAATGGGCCATCCACTCTACTTGCCAAAAGAGAGGGGTAGGGGAGGTTTGGTTTTGTTTTAGGAGGAAAAACCTATCAGGTTATGGTGATATTAGACACTGAAGAACTGAAAGGCCACTGAAGGTGGCCTTTTCAGTGTAAAAATCACATCAATTAGAGTGGTAATATACACTGAAAACCCAGATATAAAAGTAGAAATACAATAAAGCTTCCTTCTTCCCCCTGACTCCTACTTGCCTTTCCCAGGACTACTACTATTTGTCAGCATTTCTTTTTGCCATCTTCAAATGGATGTGATAGATGTTTAAATCCTCTACGTGTGAAATGAGCCAGGAGTGGCTCAGTCTTGTCAGGGTGGGGAGGCAAGTGTGGTAGGATGGGGAAGAGAAGCTGCTGGTGGTGAGCCTGCTCTCCAGTTGGATGGTGGTTTCCCAGATGTGTGACCCAAATCAAGGGTTCAGTCCGTCAGGTATTTCCTATCCTCTGTGTGTCTGTGAATCTGTACATATTCTAATCAGAATATCCCGTCACGAATCAAGGAGTAATTTTATTTCCAACTGCCTTTTGAATTACAACTGGCTCCAAGCTAGTTATCCGTGTGTCCTTTTTTGTTTGTTCTTTAAACTGAGGTCACAGTTTTTCCCCAGCCATTAAAGCGGGAATAACTCCTGCCTGGGGATAGAAGGATCTATGGCAGGACACCTGGGTGGCTCAGTGGTTGAGCATCTGCCTTTGGCTCAGGGCATGATCCTGAGATCTGGGATCGAATCCCACCTCAGGTTCCCTGTGGGGAGCCTGTTTCTCCCTCTGCCTGTGTGTCTCTGCACCCCTGCCCCATGTCTCTCATAAATAAATCTTAAAAAAAAAAAAGTGTCTATGGCAAATTACTCCCATACCTCTGGGTAAAGTGTTTCTTGTAAATGCAAGGCAAGGCATACATTGAGTAATGTTTCAATGGCCTTCTTCTGTCACCTCTGAGCTGGCTCAGTCCCTGAGATCACTTCTATGTGCTCAGCTTTGTAGCTCTGGAGCTTCTTGTCCATAGTTTTCCTGTGACAGAAACACCAGAAATGTTGACCTCTGGGTCACTATAACCTAAAGTTCCAAGCATAATGTCTATTTTTCCCATAAACCTGACCTAAAGAAATGAGTCTACTTCAACTTAGAACCTTTTTTAAGGCCCCATAGGAGTCTGCCTGCCTGCTTCTGGGCTTCTCAAAGATGCTGTCTTCTGCATAAGAACTGGAGGCAGATTGCTGTGGTGTTCTATGTAAATTGCACATACAGTCCTGGCTGTCATTAGCCTACCTAGAAATTGAACTAAGTGTTAGCATCTCTATATTTAATTTCTTCAGGATCTGTAAAGAATGTAAATGTTCTCTTTCTGTAGGGAGAATTTAAAGTCCAGAAAGAAGCTGTTTGGACCGTGGCTAACTTTACAACTGGAGGCACTATAGACCAGTTGATCCACCTTGTCCACTCTGGAGTCCTGGAGCCACTGGTCAATCTGCTTACCATCCAAGACACCAAAATTGTTATCATCATCCTTGACGTTATCTCTTTTATCCTCCAGGTGAGCTGTTTGAAGCAGGTTGGTTTTTAAACTGCAGTCTCCAATTTTAAGGCATTTAATTTGGTTCTTAAAACTCACATGTGGATTCTCTTTCTACTTCTTCACCCTTCCTCCTGGCTATGTATCCTATGGGTAACAAAAACAAGAGGACTTGCAAAGAAGGTCCATCTTCATTTTTCAAATGAGTGCCCAGCATTGTTTCAGAAGCTCAGGATACAACAGAACAATATTTTTGAGCCCATATATTAATGGGGAGAGAAACAGACACAGCAGTTTAGAGTTTATCTGGTAAAAGGGCAGTCACTGGTGGCTCAGAGAGGCGGGGAGAATGGTGATCCCTTGTATGTAATTGTCAGCAGAAATTTGTCTCAGGAAGCACATTTATGTAAAACCCTAAGAGAAGTGAAGCAATGAGTCTTGTGGTTATCTGGGGGAAGAGTACTCAAGGATGAGTGGGAGTGAATGCATAGAGGGTGGTAGTCCTGCTCAGAGTACCCAGATCACATAAGGTGTGGGAGCACTTCAGCTTACTCTGAGTGAGATGGAGAAACCAATCAAAGGTTTGAAGCAGGGGAAAGCAGTCTGTGAACCACATGGCTGGCTCTTTTAGAAGGCTAAAACATAAGATGCACTCAAAAGAGCAGCAAGAAGTTATAAGGGTTAGATCTTGAACTGGCCACAAAGACTTGAATTAGAAATCTAGAAAAGTCTTATTTCTGAAAGAAAGCCGGTGTTCATAGACCATTTGTGTCAGTTCTATATCACAGCATAATTGATTACTCCCTAGAGGTCTAGAACAAATACTTATTATCTCATATAGTTTCTGGGATTAGAAATCTGGGGGCAGCTTAGCTGGATGGTTCTGGGTCAGGGCCTCTCATGAGGTTCAAGGTGTCAATTGGGGCTGCAGTCTCATCCAAAGGCTTGATGGAAGCTGGAGGCTCAGCTTCCAAGTTGGCTCACTCACATGCCTGGAAGGTTATTCTCAGTATGTGGACCTCTTCATAGGATCATTTGTGTGTCTTCACATTATGGCAACCGGGTTCTTCTGGAAGAAGTTATCTAGGAAAGCAAGGTGAAAGCCCCAATGGCTTTTATGACCTAGCCTTGGAAGTCATTTCAACAACATCCTATTGGTTACAACCCCACTCAACATGGGAGGAAGCTATACAAGGGTAGGGATCATCTGAGGCCATCTTGAAGGCTGGCTATATTCATCTGGTTAAGGTTCTTTTATATGCAACTAACCTGTTTGAAAATTTTCAAAGTAGCACCAGGGGACTCCTTTTAAAAGCTCACTTTAAACATCCTTTTCATGTAACTGTTTTGGAAAGAACTGACCAGAGTCAAGAACAGATTTGAAACAGCACCCAATTAGACACTAAGATTGAGTAAATCACATAGATGAGGAACAGAGACTTGCCACCCATAGACAAAGTTGGACATAATGATATACCACATTTGTGAAAGCACACTTGTGGGCTGTAGAAATTTAACTTCATCTGTTTCATTTGAACTAAACATTTGGGATTTTTTTCCTTGGGAGAGTCTGGGGAAAACCATATCTGATAGACCAGAGAGAAGCACTGGAATAGCAGCTTAGGAGGACAAGGTCCTCTGGGCAGCAGAGTGAAACTCAAGTTTTTTTGAAATGACTTTGGGGCTGTTTGCTGTGGTGTCAATGTCCAAAATCCTTTTCCAGAGTTCTGACTGCTCTTGATCATCCTGCTTTCCCCCAGCTTTCTTAGGTTAATCTAGTAGATTGGTCCTGCCTCAGTTTCTTTGCTCAAAGCAAAAAAAAAAAAAAAAACCCACCTCATTTTTGGACCTGCAGATAGGACTAGAGCGTGTCAAGGTTTAGAGATACAGTGCAAACCCTCATCAGGTAGACAGTGTAGACTAAATAATATTTAACTTGAACCAGGGGAGGTTTTCTTATCACTGCACACAAAATAGAGAGCTGAGCCCTTCAGGAGCTGACACCAAAGCCTTTTCTTTATTTCTCTTCACTTCTCCCAAATAGGCTGTTGAGCTAAATTACTCCCCCGTCTCCTAAAATGCCACACTTATTCCTTCAAATCTTTATCTTTGCCCCTCTTTGCTTTGGGAATACTGTGATTATCCTATGGTTGACCCTGGCACAGCACTCTTCATCAAGAACATGTGTTATTTTCCAAGCCTTTTATGTACATCTTCTTTAACTTAAACAAGTGATCATTTACCATATTATGCTTTCTGTACTGTAGCAATTATTTACCTGTCTGCCCCAATAACATCTTAAAATCTTTTTTTAAAAATTTTTATTTATTTATGATAGTCACACAGAGAGAAAGAGAGAGAGGCAGAGACAGAGGCAGAGGGAAAGCAGGCTCCATGCACTGGGAGCCTGACGTGGGATTCGATCCCGGGTCTCCAGGATCGCGCACTGGGCCAAAGGCAGGCGCCAAACTGCTGCGCCACCCAGGGATCCCTGATCTTAAAATCTTAAAATCACATCTTCATATGGTTTTGTAGGCCTTGCCCATAGTAGATGTAAATGTTTGAATTAATAAACAGCTCTAAATGATAAATCCAATGATCAGCATTGGATTAAATCCACTCACGTTACTTGTTTCCAGGGAATTTGGTTATTTCCCATGATGTTATTAAGGGTCTCCTTCATCTTCTCAAAGCTTTCCAGAGAGGGTATGGCCAGAACACCTACATTTAAATAACATTACCTGAACTCTTTTAAACTTTAAATTTTAAACAATTTCCATTAATTAGAAAGGGGATATCTATTAAACAGTAGTAGCAATGTATTTATGGAGGGCAGTATACTTGACAAAAGTTGCATTTTGTGCAATTAATATAAATCTATGTACTATAAACATCAACATCTAAAAGAGGAGGAAAATCCTGATTGTTGTTTTCTTTTGAGACAGACAGAGCGAGAGACAAGAGGGTTGGTGAGGGGGAGAGGGAGAGAGAAATCTCAAGTAGACTCCATGCCCAGCATGGAGACCAATGTGGGGCTTGATCTTACAACCCTGAGCCAAAATCCAGAGCTGGATGCTTAACTGACTGAGCCACCCAGGTACCCCTGATCCTGCAATCTTAATTAGGGAAAAGTAAAACTGTGGCTGTCTATTCTGGAATGGGAGCCTTTGGTCTGATTCCACAGTGGTAAAGCTCTACCTCCAAAGGGCTTTTGTCCAGTCTTACTTTTTCTTATATACCTACAGGCAGCAGAGAAGCTTTCAGAGAAGGAAAATCTGTGTCTTCTGATAGAAGAAATTGGTGGCATTGATAAAATTGAGGCTTTGCAACTTCATGAGAATCCTCAGGTTGCCCTGACTGCTTTGAACATTATCGAGAACCATTTTTGTGAGGTAAGTGATTTCAGAGTGGAAAGGAGTACCCATACCTCCTGGCAGGCCACCTTAGCTGGTGATTCACTGGGCAGGTGCCCATACTGCTCCTGTGAGGTGGGTGACAAGATGGACGGGTGGGCTTCTTTCATGACTTAGCTCTGAGTTTCTCCCCATCCATGTTGAATAGTCTATCTCTGAGTGACAGCTCCCTGGCTCCTGGAAACCATTCTAGTCCCATAAAAGCTTGTCTTCCTGCCTCTGGTTTAGAACTTTTTTGTTTGTTTGTTTGGTTTTTTTTTTTTTTAATTTTTTTAATTTTTATTTATTTATGATAGTCACACAGAGAGAGAGAGGCAGAGACACAGGCAGAGGGAGAAGCAGGCTCCATGCACCAGGAGCCTGATGTGGGATTCGATCCCGGGTCTCCAGGATCGGGCCCTGGGCCAAAGGCAGGCGCCAAACCGCTGCGCCACCCAGGGATCCCCTGTTTGTTTGGTTGATTGGTTTTGGTTTGGTTTGGTTTTCCTCTGCTTGCCTCTTTTGGTGTGGAGGGATGGAGGAAGGGAGGTGATATGATGCTGAAGTGATTTTTTTTTTTTTTTTTTTTGAGAAACACAAACAACTAAGGCAGGTCCAGTTTTCAAAACATTTTGCTACTTACTGCATTTTGTCTCTTTCCAGTATATGGGGTTTGGGATAAACTGCACACAGGGCTTCTAACTTTTCTGCAGGAGCAGGGAATAATGATCAGACAGCACTAGCCACTCCTTTGAAACATTTTTTATTGCAATAAAATATGTAACATACAAATTTACCATTTTAACCATTTTTGAGTGTACGGTTCAGGGTCATTGACTACCTTCACATTGCTATGTAGCCATCACCAGTATCATCTCTAGAACTTTCCCATCTTTGCAAAATGAAGCTCTGTCCCCATTAAACATTAGCTTCCCATCTTTCCTCTCCCCACAGCCCGTGGCAACCACCATTTAACTTTCTTTGTGAATCTGATTACTCTCAGTACATCATATAGGTAGACTTCTACAGTGTTTGTTTTTTTTGTGACTGGTTTGTTTTACTCAGCACAATCCCTGCAAGGGTCGTCCATGTTGTTGCAGGTGCCAGAATTTCCCTTATATTTTAGGCTGAGTAATATTCCATTGTGTGGATAGAATACATTTTGTTTATCCATCCATTTTAGATATTCACTTGGACTATCCTGACTCTTGTGAATAATGTTGCTATGAATATGGGAGTACAAATATCTGTTCGAATTCCTGCTTTCAGTTCTTTTGGGGGTCTATACAGAAGTGGAATTGTTGGATAATTCTATTTTTAATTTTTGAGGAACCACTATCCTGTTATTCATAGCAAATGCGCACCGTTTTACATTCTCCCCAGCAATGCATGAAGGTTCTCATTTTTCAACATCCTTGCCAATACTTGTTATCTGTTTGATCATAGTCATCCTAATGGGTGCAAAGGGTATCTTACTGTAGTTTTGAGTTGCATATGCATTAGATATTTTCCATATGAAGAAGATGAGCTCAAAGTTCTTCAGTGGCCAGGGGGCTGGCGGTTTATAGTGAGTGACATTCCATTAGGCATCAAATTCGAATCCACAAAATCTTGAGCCATACAACAAATATGACTGGGTTGATGTCTGCCTTCAGTTAG